CAGACTTGGACTTAAGTCTTATTTGTCTTTTATTTTGACAGTTACTGAATTCATTTTTTTAAATTTCATGAAATAAATTGCTGCTGTTAAAAAAATTATAATAAAAGGCATCCCTGATGCCTTTTAGAAGATCATTAGAACACTGATCTTAGGTTAGAAACATTGATTTAGATTTTGTTTAGAATTCTTTTTTGTAATAATTGTAAGAAGGCCTTAGCCCAGCATTGCACTTTTATCATCGTAATGAAACACATCTCTGCTTCACAGGATGAGGAAGTGAACAATGGAATGTGTGTGAATAAAGAGGGATTTTCCCATATGCTGGAAACGGCATTCCCAGTTTGCCTAACAGACAACAGTCACCCTCATTTTTCTCGCTTTCTCCACACCCTTAACTTTATTAATGAGATCCTCTCTAGTAAATGATGAAATCTTTTCGCACATTAGAAGGGGATTTCCCCATGCATAGACTGAGAATTAGAAAAAGCTGCTCTGTCTCCTGTATGTCATTGTATCCTAAAAATCTTATGTATGTCTGTGTTCATGTGTACATAGGTCTTTCTGTTATTCTTACTGTTTCACATTTAAACAGTTAGAAGACTGTTACCAAATTTAGACCTCCCTAATACATCTTCTATTTAGTAAAATAGAAGGTGTATTAGGTAGGTCTATATTTATATCTATTTTTCAATCTGGATAATGTCTAATGTATACAATTCACTTTTGAGATTGGGGGACTATCTAAAAAAATAAGCAATCATACCCTAAGTCAGATGTAACTTAGAGAGTCAGAGGCAAGTATAAATAATATTAATAGAATCATTTCACATGTGTTATAATTTCATGGAACAAGAAAATAAATCATAATTCTAGACCTGAGTCTCAGATAGAAGGTTAGGGCATTTACTTCAAATTTTAGATGCTAATTGGCAATCTAGAAAATTCTCATATATACAAGTCAATGTAGTATGCTCAAAGGTGACATATATTTATTTATCAGAGGGCTATTATTCAAATATTTAAGAATTATGGTTTCTTCCATCAAATCAGATACATGAGATTGTATGTGTGTTTGTAAATGTAAATTTAATGCTCCTTATAAAAGATAAGTGTTCTGCAAGATCCGCTTTCTACTCAACAAATTCAAACATATGTATTAATTTGTCTTTCGGAAATTTCTTATATTAACTTTCCTGTTGTTGATGTTAGATTTGGATTTCTAAATTGTAATGGGTTATTGAAGTCTTAGAAAGCATTTGATCTCCAGATGTGCCCTACTACTGGTATGATTTATATTCTGCATTTTAATTGATAAAGATGCTCTCTCTGTAAGTACTGGCCTGACTGTGTTCTTCAATAGTAAGTGATCATTTTAGATTCACACTTTGAAATGAGTGTTGTGGCAAGGGATAAGGAAAGCCCAAGGAATCAGTAACCTGCAAACATAAAGAGAGGTAGGTTTGGGTGATGCTTTCACAAAGGATAACACAAGTAGTCACTTATCTGAGACTGTGAGCCAGCTGGGATATAAAGAGGAAGCAGTAGATTGAAAGCATAAAGTTCATGATCTTAGTCAAATGATTAAGGGCGATTGTCTTTAGATTTGGCCAAAACTTCATAGGTAAAGAAGAACATGATACCAGGCTTTTTAGAAAGTTTAGGTGAAAATACAGTAACAATAAAATGAAAACTAATGCCTCATTAAGTTGACCATACCCTAAATACAGATGATGATTAGCTTTAATCTTTTCTAGTTCTCTGTAATATATAGAAGCGGGAACCCAACAGAAAACATTATTCATCAGAAAGATGCATCTGCTTCTCACCGCATTACAAAGCCTGTGTACACCCCCTGGATAGAAAGCTAGCCCTCCAATAATGGGTTTGCTTTAAAAGTCTGGGAGTCAAGAGTGCTTACTTCAAATGCAGCATAGGATAGGTTCAGTGAAAAGAAAGAAGCTCTCCTCTGGGAGGGTTAATATTCTTCTATTTTGCTCCCTAAGAATACAGTCAGTTGTACACAGACACAAGGTTCTATGGAAAACCTGAGACTGACTAAAAGTCATGAATGACTAAGAGGTGCTTGCATTCATATTCCTTCCATTGGAAGTCCAACAACGAATAAAAACATTCAGGCTGTCTCTGAGGTTTCCACAGCCGAGTGGGAAACACACACTTGCCGTGTGACGTGACATCCTGTGAAGCTCAGGGCTAAAAGGAGCGGTGGCTGATTTCAGCTTGGGAATTATGAAAGTTTGAACAGAATCATAAAAGAACAAGGAGGATATATGTACTTGGTAGACAAGAAGTCATATAAAGAGAGGTTCTAAACAGAAGATTTCGCTCACAAATACACATGGAGAGATGAAAGGGTGTGGCACATTGCTGGTGTTTTCAGGGAAGAAAGCAGAACGTCTGTGGGCAAGCTGGGTTGGGGTAAAGGTAAATAAGAACCATAAGAAACTTTCATTTCTAAAGAGTTTGGGATTTATCCTACAGGTAATAGTGGACCATTAAAGGATTTTTAAAGAGGATGTGATATAATTAGCTTGAATTTTAGAGAAAGAAAGAGTTGGTAAAATGGATTTCCTGCTGTTTTCAGTAAAAGGGCAATATCAGAGGCAAAGACCAATGAGACCACTTTGTGATACGTGATAAGGTCACAGCAATCATGGGATTGTCTTCTAAGAGCATCTTATTTGGTCAGAACTCTCAAGACAAACACAAAATACCTGGCAATAATTTTGGTAAAGGAAAAGAAGAAAATGAAATGCAAAAAAAGAAAAAGTAATGCTTCAACAAACTTTCCTACCAGGATGCCTTTATATCATGGACACATAGAGGCTTACCTACCTCAGATTCATCTTAACAAGTTTCACTTGTTCATGTCAAGATGCAAATGTTAAAGTCAACTTTTTGTCTCCGAATGCCTTCTTACGCTCCTAAGATGAATTGTTCCACTACTTCCCTGGGTTCTGCAACCTTCGTGTAAAAAGAGATGCAACCTTGGCAAAGTAATGTCGGGGGGCCCAGGAGGTAACAAAAAATGACTAAATAATATTTTGTTGCATTCTTCCATGCTTTGTTGCATGTGTTAGCAGTTGAGGGTGTCCAGGTTCTTGGCGTTTTGAACAAAGAACTGGACAAAATGCACAAACAAAGCAAGGAAGGAATGAAGCAACAAAAGCAGGGATTTAATGAAAATGAAAGTAAACTCCACAGGGTGGGAGCAGGCCCAAGCATAGGGGCTCAAGGGCCCCATTACAGAATTTTCTGGGAGTTAAATACCCTCTAGAGGTTTCCATTGGTTACTTGGTGTATGACCTATGTAAATGAAGAGAACGTAGTAAAGTTACAAAGTCATTTACTCAGAGTACGCTATATGTAAATGGAGAGGATATTTCCTGTCATCACAGAAGTGTTTCCATTTGATGTCATTCTAGGAAGTCAGTGTGAATCAGCCTTATGTTCCCTGCCTCCAGACCCTATCCTGTTGCCTCACGTGGAGTACCAGCTTGCCTTATATCTGTATTTCAAGGCAAAATCTAAGGATATTTTTAATATGGCCGTTTCTCTTGCTAAATAAGTTAATAAATAAGTGCTACTGCTACTTTATTATGTACCTTGTTATATCTGTAAACAATTTGGAACAATAAAAGGTAATTCTTACTATAAATTTTGTTAGCTTTTATTTTTTTGTCCTATTAAAAATTCAAGGTCTGAAGTTAATTGTTTCTCATGGATTTCAAACCATAAGTATATATTTGACATACAAAAATATGTCGTATGGAAACACATCAACAATTAATAATAAAAAATGCATGGTAATATTTTAATCTTTCTTTTGCATTAGCACTTCCTTAAGTCTTTATTATTTTTAAATTGCTTCCATTGTAATAACTATATGAAACTATTGCCAACCAGAAATTGGTACTGAGTTCTCAAAATAGATTTAGCTCTCAACCAAGAAATAATAATGAGATGCAAATTAATTTACAATAATTGAATTTATTGAAATGAGGTTTAATTTGTTCTTGAAATGTTCACACATAGGCATCATTATGTCTAGGAAGTGCTGATGCAAGACTGTCTTGTAAACTAGATGACACACCTAATGACATGTAACTGGGAGGTGGCTAAAATTTAAAGAATGCATTTAGTTAAGTAACACGAATGACTTAGGAAATACTGGCAAAATCTCCTGCATGGATATATAGTCTCACACTCGGCTTCCCTGACTACCGAGACTGTCTGGGCTCCTAGTGCGTTGACCCGTACATGGATCTAGTGGAAACAGCCTCTTGACTTCATCTAATTGGATCATGATGTGGAAGAGAATACTTCTGGGCATTTTTCTCTTTCATCTGACTCTTTCTCAGTCTCCAAACGTGTAAGTGATTACACAGTTTATTATTTCACATGGAAGGCAAATAGAGCTTGGTTTTAAAAATTCGGGCCGGGTGCGGTGGCTCACGCCTGTAATCCCAACACTTTGGGAGGCTGAGATGGGCAGATCGCCTGAGGTCAGGAGCTAAAGACCAGCCTGGCCAACATGGTGAAAACCCGTCTCTACTAAAAATACAATAGCTGGCATGGTGACACGTACCTGTAGTCCCAGATACTCTGGAAGCTGAGGCTGGAGAATCGCTTGAACCTGAGAGGCAGAGGTTGCAATGAGCCGAGACAGCGCCACTGCACTCCAACCTGGGTGACAGAGGGACGCTCTGTCTCAAAAAAAAAAAAAAAGAAAGAAAAGAAAAGAAAAAGAAAAAAATTCAAGTGTTACATTTTTATTGCAGTAATTTGATTTTAATAGTATTACCATTTAACAATATAATTCAAAATATGCCCATGGGAATAGTAAATTTCAAATTTGAATGGCGCCATCAGCTCTGCCTTGTAGACATCCAGAATGTTGATTAAGGGCTACAACAGCATTATATTTATATTGAGAAAGAGGTGTCTGACAGCTGCTGGGGAAGGAACTGGACAGACAGTAGGCAAATGCAAATCAGAATGTGCCGTGTCTGTTTGGGGGCAAAAGCATTGTATAAGAACACTGATGATGTTGACCTTTATAGAACTGATGACAAATTACTTGCTGATTTTTAATTGTGAGTTCCTTTTTGATTCTATAAAATTTAATTCCTAGGCCAGTATCTTTCTGTTTTACACAGATTTAGCCATTTGATGTACTTCTAACATTTAAAAATAACGTATTTTTCTTAAACTAAAAACTTCTTCAGTTAACACCGTAATTGCTAAGTAACGAATCACTGGCACATTCAGTTGTAATAGTCTTGCTCTAATTTTGTAGGCAGTATGTTCTGCTGATTCCTTCTGTTCTACAAGAAAGCTCCTTGGATAAAGCTTGTGCCCAGCTTTTTAATCTCACTGAATCTGCTGTTCTGACAGTCTCCCTCAACTATGGTGAAGTCCAGACCAAAATATTTGAAGAGAATGTTACTGGAGAAAATTTCTTCAAATGCATCAGCTTTGAGGTAAGCGCTTCTTTCTGCTTAATCAGAAAAGAATATTACAGGGGCATGAACATCACCCACATAACTGACTTTTCAGGGACAGAGATCAGGCTATATGACTGGACATGCAAAGTTATTTTAATTTTTAAAAGAATAATATAGTCTTCAGTTTGAGATGATGTAAGTGCAGTCATAAATGGTAACGAGGGCAACAGCCAAAAAGTTTGATTTTATGATAGAAAATTGTTGAAGGGAATAAGATATATAAAAAGAATGACTCGTGTACAGAAAAGAGAAGTTTTAAGAAAGGCAAACTATTCATTTAAATGGTGAGATAAGGAGGTGACAAAGCAAGAGAAATAAAGAAGATTGATTATTGAAGAAACAGATATGACAAATTATGAATTAAGACTTTTAGTTATACCAACACACAGTAATAGAGATTTCTTGACCGAAAAATCGATCTCATGGAGTATTTATTTGCTCCCTAGGTTCCTCGGGCCAGATCCGACCCACTCGCTTTCATTACATTTTCTGCTAAAGGAGCCACTGTCAATCTGGAAGAGAGGAGATCTGTGGCAATCAGATCCAGAGAGAATCTGATCTTCATACAGACTGATAAACCTTTCTACAAGCCTGGACAGAAATGTGAGTATACCTAAATCAGGTTATATTCAACTAATATCACTTATGTGATATTTGAATTTATGGTACACAACTTAAGCTTAGAAATTTTATTATATTAAAATTTATTAGAAAGCCTGCTTAAAAATACAAAATAAAAATATAGATGACATAGCCTAAATGTTAGAGATTTCATTTCCGTGAGTCTGGGGTGGGGAGCCTCAGAAACTGTATTTTTAAAGAGCACCTTATTCTTATTTTCTGATAATATCCATATTATTCTAATAATAATCTAATAATATTTGTATTATTCTAGTAACATTCTAATCACATATTTGGGAATTTTGAATTTTAGTTTATGCAAACTTACAAGGTTATAGTTGACATAGAAACAAAACAGCAACAAAGTATGTCATGAACACGTAATGAGATGCCCTTAGTGACTAGAGAATTGCTCGAGTGGTAGAATGATCAGTATGACATTGAATTAAGCTGAAAAGCCTCCTCTCTTCTCTTGGGTACAGAAGGAGTTGATAAATACAGATTACAGCAGTCAAAGCAAGACATTTCTGATGAGATGAATGGTTCGTAACAAAGCACAGGGGTAGAATTAATTTAAAAATTGTGCCATAAAATGAGAAGTAGATAGACTTATTTGGAGTAAAGAAAACAGGTGAAAGGAAGGAAAACAAGCTGAAGTGAATAAACAGTTCAAGGAAAGCCCTGAATATAGAACTAAAGAGGCATTTTCACGCAGTTAAGGAATACCCATGGGGAGTCACTACAGAGGTGGGGATCACGCCTTGAGGAGGCAGTCATGGGTGAACTGGGAATCAGTGTAATCAGAGCCTTACACACTGTGACCCCAGAACACAAGCAGACGGAGGTGAGGGAGATGTGCTGGAGACGGAGGGATGCACTGCATGCATTGTGCTGTCCCCAGCCCTCCACTCCTCTTCCCCGACCCTTTGCCTCCTTCCCTCACTTCACAAAAGAAGGCATTCAGATCAGTACATAGGCACCAGGGAAAGACTGAAGGACTAGACAAGAAAGACAGGGCGTGGCTGTACAGTATGGGCGGGCACCCACAACGGCACCAACATTACGAATGCATGCAGGGGTGGGAGGTGCTCACGAGGGGAAGACACAATGTGGTTGACGCAAGAGGATGTCCAAGGAAAGCTTCTAGGATTCTTGCTAAGGTGAGCTGTAGAAGGCAGAGGTGAGGAAGGGGACTACCACTTCAAACAGCACAGAAACGTTAAAACTTAATTTAAAATGAATGCTGCCTGTAGTCCCAGCCTCGGGAGGCTGAGGCAGGAGAATTGCTTGAACCCGGAAGGCCGAGGTTGCAGTGAGCCAAGATTGCGCCACTGCACTGCAGCCTGGAGACAGAGCAAGACTCCATCTCAAAATAAATAAATAAAATAAAATGAATGCTTGTTTTTTATTTCTTATCCATCTACTTTCTAGTAAAGAGTCTAATGTACGGATGAAAGGTTATCACATAGCAAAGAAATTGAGCCAGGAGTCTTAAACAATTGAGAGATATTCGATTTTCAAAAAATGGATCATTATAATCTGAGATATAATGCTACAAATAACTCATAATCTACTCAGCATCATGCTTCTTTTTTTGGAGAAAAAGTATGGTGTGACATTAACTATGACTGTACGCTAAAATCTCATTGCACGTTTAGTTTGTTGTTGCTTCATATGTGACTGCCACCTGCATTTTTTTTCTTTTTTTAAATTATACTTTAAATTCTGGGGTACATATGCAGAACATGCAGGTTTGTTACATATGTACACATGCGATGGTGGTTTGCTGCACCCATCAACCTGTCATCTACATTAGGTATTTCTCCTAATGCTGTCCCTCCCCTTGCCCACCACACCTGACAGGCCCCAGTGTGTGATGCTCCCCTCTCTGTGTCCATGTGTTCTCATTGTTAAACTCCCACTTATGAGTGAGAACATGTGGTGTTTGATTTTCTGTTCTTGTGTTACTTTGCTGAGAATGATGGTTTCCAGCTTCATACATGTTTTTGCAAAGGACATGAACTTATCCTTTTTTGTGGCTGCATAGTATTCCATGGTGTATATGTGCCAGATTTTCTTTATCCAATATATCTTTGATGAGCATTTTGGTTGGTTCCAAGTCTTTGCTATTGTGAACAGTGCCACAATAAACATACATGTGCATGTGTCTTTATAGCAGAATGATTTATAATCCTTTGGTTATATACCCAGGATTGGAATTGGTTGGTCATATGGTATTTTTATTTCTAGATCCTTGAAGAATCACCACACTGTCTTCCACAATGGTTGAACTAATTTTTATTCCCACCAACAGTGTCAAAACATTCCTATTTCTCAACATCCTCTCCAGCATCTGTTGTTTCCTGACTTTTTAATGATTGCCATTCTAACTGGCATAAAATGGTATCTCAATGTGGTTTTGATTTGCATTTCTCTAATGACCAGTGATGATGAGCTTTTTCTCATATGTTTGTTGACCACATAAATGTCTTCTTTTGAGAAGTATCTGTTCATATTCTTCACCCACTTTTTGATGGGGTTGTTTTTTCTTGTAAATTTGTTTAAGTTCTTTGTAGATTCTGGATATTAGCCCTTTGTCAGATGGATAGATTACAAAACGTTTCTCCTATTCTGTATGTTGGTTGCTCACTCTGATGATAGTTTCTTTTGCTGTGCAGAAGCTCTTTAGTTTAATTAGATCCCATTTGTCAATTTGGGCTTTTGTTGACATTGCTTTTGGTGTTTTAGTCATGAAGTCTTTGCCCATGCCTACGTCCTGAATGGTATTGCCCATGTTTTTTTTTTTTTTTTTAGGGGTTTTATGGTTCCAGGTCTTATGTTTAAGTCTTTAATGCATCTTGAGTTAATTTTTGTATAAGGTGTAAGGAAGGGATCCAGTTTCAGCTTTCTGTATATGGCTACCCAGTTTTCTCAACACCATTTATGAAAAAGTAAATCCTTTCTCTGTTGCTTGTTTTTGTCAGATTTGTCAAAGATTAGATAGTTGTAAATGTGTGGTATTATTACTGAGGCCTCTGTTCTGTTCCGGTGGTCTATATATGTTTTGGTACCAGTACCAGTACCATGCTGTTTTTGTTATTATAGCCTTGTAGTATAGTTTGAAGTCAGGTAGTGTGATGCCTCCAGCTTTGTTCTTTTTGCGTAGGATTGTCTTGCCTATACAGGGTCTTTTTTGGCTCCATCTGAAATTTAAAGTAGTTTTTTTCTAATTCTGTGAAGAAAGTCAGTGGTAGCTTAATCTGGATGGCATTGAATCTATAAATTACTTTGGGCAGTATGGCCATTTTCACAAGATTGATTCTTTCTATCCATGAACATGTAATTTTTTCCCATTTGTTTGTGTCCTCTCTTGAGCATTGGTTTGTAGTTCTCCTTCAAGAGGTCCTTTACATCCCTTGTTAGTTGTATTCCTAGTTATTTTATTCTCTGTAGCAATTGCGAATGGGAGCTTGCACATGATTCGACTCTCTGTTTGTCTGTTATTAGCATATAGGCATGCTTGTGATTTCTGCACATTGATTTTGTATCCTGAGACTTTGCTGAAGTTGCTTATTAGCTTAAGGAGTTTTTGGGCTACAACAACGGGGTTTTCTAAATAACAATCATGTCGTCTGCAAACAGAGACAACTTGACTCTTCCTATCTGAATACCTTTTATTTCTTTCTCTTGCCTGATTGCCCTGGCCAGAACTTCCAATACTATGTTGAATAAGAGTGGTGAGAGAGGGCATCCTTGTCTTGTACTGGTTTTCAAAGGGAATGCTTCCAGTTTTTGCCCATTCAGTATGATATTGGCTGTGGATTTGTCATAAATAGCTCTTATTATTTTGAGATATTTTCCATCAACACCTAGTTTATTGAGAGTTTTTAGCATGAAGAAATGTTGAATTTTGTCAAAGGCCTTTCTGCATCTATTGAGATAATCATGTGGTTTTTGTCATCGGTTCTGTTTATGTGATGGATTACATTTATTGATTTGTGTATGTTGAACCAACCTTGCGTCCCAGGGATGAAGCTGACTTGATTGTTGTGGATAAACTTTTTGATGTGCTGCTGGATTTGATTTGTCAGTATTTTATTGAGGATTCGATTTGTCAGTATTTTATTGAGGATCCCCGATGTTCATCAGGGATATTGGCCTGAAATTTTCTTTTTTCATTGTGTCTCTGCCTGGTTTTGGTATCAGGATGCTGTTGGCCTCATAAAATGAGTTAGGAAGGATTCCCTCTTTTTGTACTGTTTGTAATAGTCTCAGAAGGAATGGTACCAGCTCCTCTTTGTACCTCTGGTAAAATTCCATTATAAATCCATCTGACCTTGAACTTTTTTTGATTGGTAGGCTATTAATTACTCCCTCAATTTCAGAACTTGTTATTGGTTTATTCAGGGATTTGACTTCTTCCTGGTTCAGTCTTGGGAGGGTGTAGTGTCCAGAAATTTATCCATTTTTTCTAGATTTTCTTTTTTTTCTTCTTCTTTTTTTTTTCTCATGCTGGCATCAGTATTTCATGTTTTATTTGCATAGAGGTGATTATAATATTATCTGATGGTGGTTTGTATTTCTGTGGGATCAGTGGTGATATTCCCTTTATCATTTTTTATTGCATCTATTTGATTCTTCTCTTTTTTCTTCTTTATTAGTGTGGATGGGTATGAACAACAAACTCTCCTGTTACTAGCTCACTGTGTACCCAGGCCACCCAGTTTTATGCTTGAATCCCAGGGCCTGGGTGGTGTAGGCACTGTAGGGAACTTCCTGCACTGAGGGTTTCGAAGATTGTCAGAAAAGCGCAGTATCTGAGCCGAAATGTACCGTTCCTAACAGTACAGTCTCTCAGGGCTCCCTTGGCTAGGGGAGTTGAATCCCACAACCCCTTCCACTTTCCTGGTGAGATGACACCTCACCCTGCTTTAGCTCGCCCTTCGTGGGCTGCACTCACTGTCCAACCAGTCTCAATGAGA